TTGAGCCGATTACCAGAATTTTCTTGGCAATTGTTGTTATACACAAAGCATTGTTGATAAGATTATGAGAGAAGGGGTTATGAAAATGATAATACACATATTTTGATAGAAAGAGAGGAAAACAAATATAAAATTATATGATTCAAGAGTTAACTTTGTCAGATCTTTATCAACAACCTTCATACACAAGTCTAAGAACACTTAGATAATATGAAGGCAGAAAAAGAACAGTAAGTGCTTCTAGGAATAAGATTGGGTTCAAATTAAGGTGACCAATATTGAGATCGAATTTCCTTTTAAGTGTATTTGAATTTAATGAGATGGATTTTCCCATCCCCTTGGTCATCTGCCAGGTCATATTTGGCACAACAAACAAGTAGAGATGCGTGCACATGTGTACCCACACCCAGAATGGCATATGGCAATGGTTGTAATCATCATGTAATCATCGTAGCCTATGATCCAAGAAGTATGAGGAAAGCATAAGCAAAAATAAGAGACAGATGATCAAAACATGATCTGTCTAGAAAATCTATGAGGCAAAGCTGTGGTGCAACCTCAGTTTCTCAACAGACAACAATGCACTAATGCCTCATTGAATCAGTTAAGGTAGGGACATTCTCAAATTAAGTTCTACTTTCTGTATATAGGCTGAGAATTCCTAATCTGAAAATCTAAAATTTGAAATGTTCCAAAATCCAAAACTTTTTGAGTATTCACATGACGTCACAAGTGGAAAATTTTAAAGCTGACCTCCTGTGACAGGTTACAGTGAAAATGCAGGCACAGGATGCCTAGTTGATTCAGTGTCCCCGAGAGGAAGATGTTGTAGAATTACCTCAGGCTATGTATGGAACGGGGTGTGTGAAACACAAGTGAATTCTGTGTTTGGACTTGTATCTCAGCTCCATGACATCTCATTGTGCCTATGAAAATATTCTAAAATAGGAAAACATCTGAAATCCAAAACACTTCCAGTCCTGCACATTTTAGACAATGGGTACTCAATGTGTATTTTTGTAAAAGTTGAGCCCAGAAGAATCATTTTTGGAAACTTTGACTTCTTGTTTTTATCATTTCTGTGGATTTTTAATCTACTAGTTATTATAGTTATTATACATATGAAGTCAGAAAAGAAAGTTACATGTATAACATTGTGCTAATATACTCATATGGAATTCTTATTTTTTTCAGGTAATGAGACATATAAAGAAAAAGAAATAACAATATCAGATCTTCAACCTGAACAAGATTATCGTTGTTCTGCAGAAGTATTTTATAATCAGAAAACGTATACAGATGCACAGAAAACTATTCGAACAGATGTTGGAAGTGAGTATATTTCTTACATTTATATGTAAAATTACTTTCCCTGTATGTTGTTATGTAATAATTCTTTGAGGATCAGAGGAAATGATGGTATAAAGTTAGAAAGAGAATTTCAGAAAATAAATTTCTATTAATTTTTGAAGTTGAATTAAAAAAAAAAATTACACTGGGCCCAAACATTTTTTTTTTCCAAACTACAGGCTGTTGTGAGGTTGTGTTGGAAATAAAACTGAAATGGGTAAAATGTTTTGTTCACTTATTTCCCCTTTCTTCCTGTGGCATCCTTCCTTTTTGGCACAGTCTCTCACCTCCCTCTCCTCTATTAGATCCTGCCCGTAATAGAAGGACAGTGAGCAAAGAAGCAGGGTGGTAAATCTACATATGGATGGGAAGATGGACAAAAGTCATGAAAAAATGTTAAAAGAATATTAATTACATGTAGGATGATTTATGAATTAACCACTGGAAAAAAGGAAAAACAGATAGTGTTGCCTATAAGCAGTATAGCAAAATTCTACATATCACAGCAAGAAAAGATGGCAGAGGAGAGGGGGGAAAGAAGAAGAAGGAAGAGTGCTTTCGGGTAGTTTAAGTCAAAGTTGTCTGTCCTTCACTTGGAAGGTGTGTGATATACCCCTGCGATGCAACTTTTGGGTGTGAATTCCCCCTCCCCCTTTTCCTTCCTCCTGTTTATGTGAATTTCATTGA